CATGAGACCCAGAGAACAGCTGTTCTGCATGAGCACCTGTTTCACTGAGGTTGTGAAGGAGTCTGTGGGATCACAGGTTGTGTATTAATTCAAATAAAAATATAACGCCAATTAAAAACAAGAAAAAAAAACTAATGAGGCAAGTTTAAAATGGTTTCTTTTTCATATCAATATTCATATTGATATTTTCAAAGCAACCATAGTAATTAAATTGGAAATCAAAACAGTGCTTATTTTCAGGAATTCAGTTCAAGTACTTATTTTGATCAATTTTCTATTTCAACATAGGAAACAAGGCAACATGTCAACAAGAATACAAGGATAAGGAATATAAAAGAAATTATGTTTAAGTACTTTTAAAAAACATGTCCAATGGCATTAGGGTTTACAGAGCTATTTTTTTTAGCTAAGCTAAATAAAATGTAAAATGAAATGTACACCCAGGTTCCAAATCATATTACAACTAAAGGACAAGCATCCCCCTTCACATTACAAGTGGCTGTAAGAAGAATATTCTAGGAACGCTCACACTCTAGGGTAAGTTTACACAGGCAAGAAAAACAAGGTGCAAAATCCATCCATTTCTAGCTGCTTCTTCCAACTGAAGGTTACAGAGGTGCCAGAGCCTGGCCTGGCAAGTAACAGACAGAAGGCAGGATACACCCTGAACGGGACGCACATCATACACACTCACACCAGGGCCAATTTTCCCAGAAGCCAGTATCTCTTTAGACTGTGACAGGAAACCGGAGCACCTGGAGAAAACCCACACAAACATGGGAGGAACATACAAACTCCACACATATGGCACACCAGGCCCGGAACTGAACCTTGTGCCCCAGCACTGCGAGATAGCAATGCTAACCACTGCAACACCGTCTTTTATTGCAAATGGAAGTAACATTAAAACTTAGTGATTACAGAGACACATTGCAATCTTATTTCCTTCTTTCCAGAATCAAACCTATTATTTAATGAGCAGTACTCGGTCTGCATCTTTGAACCTAGTGCACTCAACAGTAGTCTCCGGTGACCAGATCCTGACTATCTGAAAGAAGCTTAAAAAAAGCTTAAAAAGAACTGCTGCCAATTTGTATGTTTTCAACCTTTCTATTCCTGCTGGCAGAACTAATTAGTTTTTTTTTCCTCAAACGACCCACTAACTACAGTGAAATCCTGGTTGCAATATTTTCCACACTGTTGCAATAACAGCATCCTGACTGACCATACACTGACCACAACTGGCCAAACACAAACTTATCCAGTATCTTGGTTGCGGTGATAGCTATGTTACTGAAAAAAAGATTCAGTGTCAATACAAATGTCTTATACCAAATTACAAACCTTTCAAAGATGGACCGTCAAGGGGACAGTTTCTTGGTGTGGGTTAAGTCTTAGAGCAAGCAATTGATCCCATTACAAACAAACCCTGTCTTCCTTAAGACTTATTTTTAAAATTCTGATCAATGGCAATAATTACTTTGACAGGTAGTAAGTACAAATTTCATATTTAAAAAAGTACCATTATTGGGTTTATATATTAAAAAAGTAACCCAGTTAAGTGCCACTCAATTTGAAACTCCTGTATTTAACCTTACAGGATCAATACTGCATAATCAATATGAAAAAGAAGTACCATCTGCAGTGCGGTGAAGTCAGCAGTGACTTATGTTCAAGGGGTCATACATAGGTCATCTTTTTAATTGAGCCTGATGCATTGAAAAGCTGTTTGCAGCTAGATTTAGATGACGTAATTCCCACTGGGCTCTGCACAAATGGGGCATTCAGTTAAAATGTCACACAATGAAACCACAAAAAAGGATCACAATAACGACACTGACAACAATGTGTAATAACATTAAATAACATAGACGGCACACACACACAGAGGTCAGCACAACAAACTAAAACACACAGAGGCTCCTAAGCACAGCTGCAGACCTTTATTACATAAGGTTTTAATTTCTTCTTCTGAGTTGGTCATGATGGAATAACTGCATATCCTTAAATGCATTTTTATGCAATTACTGTTGAATTACACATTTGCACTTCAGCTTCAATTGACAAATTCGGAATGTGCTTAAAAATATCTGATAAGGATTCTCACTGGCCCAACAGGCAAGAAGCATTTGTGTGGGTGGTAGGTGGAGCCTGAGTCTGGGCTGTGTCACCGGCTAGTCAGGAATGAGCAGTGACACAGAGACTTGAGTGTTTCTAGGGCTGAGTGGACATGAGCCAGGCTCACAAGGTTTTGCTGGACCCCAATTAACAATTGTCATTAACAAGACTGATCAACATCGCAGTCTACTGTAAAAATCAGGCTAGCAGAATGTTCCAACACATTTTGGAAGCAATTCAAACTGTGCATCTATAACACATGCCACTACCATGTTGCAGATGCTATCTTATGGCATTTGCTCCACTCTCGTTGAGCCTGAAGATGTATGTGTATGTTCACTGGTCTCTAAGACACAAATTTCAGCTCACACTACAAATGTTCAGTGGGGCTGAAGTAAGTAGTAAGTAGTTCTCTCAAAGGCCTTCAGAAAGCATGTGTCTTTTCACTCTCTCTCTGAGCCCTAGGTGCCCTGTTTTATCCCAGATCATCCCACAAATCATCCCATCATGTCCTGCAAATCTGTTGTTTCAATAGCAGCATGAGGGCACGTATTGTGATGAGCCCACAAGAAGGGCAGTAAGGTCCCAGGACTTGACCAATGTAGTGCCGTGCAGTTAACTTGCAATCGATTACTACAAGTGAAGATCTGTAGTGAATAGATACTCCTGTTGAGACCATTGCACTTGGACTTTCCTATCAAAGCGTCATGACCTATGGTCTCCCAGACCATGGTCTGTCATTGATGGACTGTGTTTGACTGTAACCAGGTTAGAAATTGACAATCCATGGTGAAGAGCTATTGTTCTCTTGATAAATGGGGAGTATTGGTTCTTGGTTGTCCTGTATTTGTTTCTGATTTTCACAAGTTTTGACATTCAACAAATTTCATGGTTTATTCTTCTTAAAATATAATATGCATAAATATAGTGTTGGTTTTCTTTTGATACTCAGTAGATTAGCTGAAAAATTAAAGAATCTCTTGCTTTGCCATGCTGTCGTTGATTTCTACATGGTTTTTTTTTAGGAAATGACCTGCATCCCTCTAAAGGCACTTTATTTTTGAAGCACAATATGTACCATCAAAGTGAAATCTCGAAGTGCGGAAAAGTTAGAAGAACAAACATAAAGTCAATCTTGTGGGCGGATATAATCTGTGGAAAAATGTTACACCCACAGGCAATCTATTGTATATAAATCTGGAACAGACTGAGCAAGTTCTATGCAATGCAAAGAAGTGTTTAATAAACATGTGCCATTTAATGTGACATAAAACAGGCCAACCTACAACATCTTCTCCAAGGCAGTCCACTGGAGTCATGGGATAAGGTACAGATTAAGACATTTTAGAAAACATCTAAAACAAATCATGACAATGGGCAAAGCAATGCTACTGTGTTAACAAACTGAAACTGAATAAACTTTTATCCTTCAAGTCTGTTGAAGATTGTTCAGGAAGCATAGCCTATTCCAGTCACAGCAAAAGTTATTCAGAATGGGCACCCTCAAAAACATTGCATTTCTGCCTCCAATCCCAAAAGCAGACTTGTGTGTGCTGAAAATTAGATATTAACAACCTCGGCACCCAAGATAATTTCAATGAGAACCTAAATTGCCAGATTTTTGATAACCGCTGTTTCGCATCAATCAGAATACTATATTACCCCTTGGACATTCTAGTGATTCGGGTCACAACATGCCTTGTGGTCTTCTACTATGCTTTTAAATAAGGTCTATCCATTTTATTGGGATAAATGTGGCAGGCAAAACTGGAATGGTTAAAAGCAGCATGCTTTCATATAAATGGCATACTTACACAGTATATGTTTACTATAATTGTTTAAAACTTTAGCACAGCTTTGTCAATGCAAAAGATGTCTTAAAATAGCACATTTTAATAATGTTAATGAGAGCTCTATGTAGATAATAAATTCACTTAAAAGTCATAAACTCACACTGAAGTTACTTATAGTACTTTTTCAAACGATATGTAACAGTATTCAGTATGGCTTAGTTGAAGATTACAATGAAAGAGGCTTTAAAAAATGTCTGTGGGGACGTAATTCATTGTAAAGAAGCCAAGCTTTTATTTTTGGATATATTAGCCTCTTCCTACCAAAATGTCAGTAAATGAAACCAAATGAATTTTAACACTGCTCATGCAAAGATTCTCCTTATTTACTGAAGATGCTCTTTCCAAGAGAAAGATAATAGGGTAAACATTTCGACCAGCTCTCATTAAAAAGTTCTCATTTGACCAGCTGTTTAAATTTTGCCTTTGGGCAAAAAAAAAGCTTCATGTCGTTTTTCCTTATTTAGTATCAGGGGATATGCAAAAGTACACTCCCCCAAAACTGAAGTGGCAAAATGAACTGCATTGGATTTCACTACTTATTATCTTTAAACTTCAAGTGGCCCACTGTGATAGTTACTAAGAGAAGTTTAATTTATATGCATTATAATTTTTGATATGGTTATTTTTTTATCCTTCTTATCTGAAGAACAGCTCTATAACAACATTTTAAAAATGGAAGCATCAAGCGGCTTAGTGTCTTTATAGTTTGGCAGTAAAAAGGTCACTCCGCAAATTGGGTTCATTAATCTTCAAGTGTATTCAAGCTATTCCGAGGCACATTTTATAGAGTAGATTAGTGTGTCATATGGTTCGAGATTAGTTTGGGGTGAAATTCCTTCGTTGATAAGGAAAGTATAGAATGAAGAGACTTTCTTTTAAAAATAAAACTTCCTTTGCATAAAACTAGCAGCTGGGATTGAGGAAAATGTAATACAGGAATGAAGTTTTACTTCTTTAAATAATTGCACAGTTAAAAATCATTAGGCTTTTGATTTTGTGAGTGTCTGACAGACGTTTTCTTAATTGTAGGACTCTTGGACGTATCCCAACGGAGTTGGCATGTTACATCAACTACCAATGCCTGAAACTCACAAAGATTACAGCTGTTGTTTATAGAGGTAAGAAAAAATATTATGAAAGCAAATACTACATACATGTCACACATCCTTTGAGTAATGTGCTAGAAAAGCACAAAGTAAATAGGAATTTTCTCTGGCAGTGTTGAATCTGAATTTCAGCACTGTGCCCCATTTTTTAATAGAGCCCATAAAGTTACTTTTTACATAGCCCCTGGAGCTTCTGCAGCTTTGGGGAGGCATATTACACATGAAACAAACATAAATAAATCAGTGTAAATGTAACTATAATTCATTAAACATAACTAACGATTTTTTAACAATGAAAGACAAAACTGGTAGATGCAAAAATGCATTTAACAAAGCATTTGCAAGGCTACAGATAGATGGCACAAAGTTTCAACACAAAGTCACTGCCCAGACTTGCTCTGTGGAAGACAAGACAACTTGGAATGCATGATATGTTTTTTAATACTTCTTACTACATTTAATGAGAAGAAGGAATTTTATTTGAGAATTTGGATGGACATGGGCTTCATATTGAGGGTATCTACTGTCTCTCTACTCCACTGGTCTCCAAATCTGGTCCTGGACAGCCCTGGTCTAACAGGTTTTGTATGGCACTATTAAAACACTTATTTCTAAAGGATTTCCTGAACCTTCTGTGTGATCAATTAAACAGGAGATTTATTAGCTAATATAGAGATTATTTGTGATTACGATCTGAGTATTCTTCAGCCCTTAAGAATCGGAATTCTCTTAATTGAACAGATTGGGTTAATTGATCGATAACTATCAAACTAACTGGGGCTCTTCAGGGCCAGTGTTGGAAACTCCTGCTCTCTTCTGCTGTCCAGGTGTTGTGATATATAGGCATATTTTAGAGAAAGTTCTTGCAGTGCCAGCATACTGACAAATGTTTATACATAAAGAGTTTTTTTCTCTCAGAAACTATTTTGGTCAGAATGACATCCTGTTTTCAAAGAAGCAGTATTTAACTGTGTGCTTAACAACTTCAGGCAGGCTTGCTTAGAACTCACAGAGTAATCATACCAGAATGCTAAAAGAAAAGGAAAAAATATACATTTCTGTGATGTGGCAAACCCCAATCCTGTTTATGAGAACTGTAATGCATTAACATCAAGCGCAACTGTTCTTCCCTTGAGTTATTTTTTTAAATATAATTGGTTGTATGTAGTATATTGAAATGTAAAATATTAAAAGAAAAATGTTCACTTACCTGATGGGTGGTAGTGAGAAATTGCCATTGCTGTGTCTAAAATAATAAAAACACAAATGTTAAGTTTGCTGCACTGTAAAAAGCCATTTTTTATATGCACATGTAAACTAGAGGCTAACATTGCTGCCTCACAGCACTGGGGTCCAGGGTTCAATTCCCGGGGTGTTATCTGTCTGGAGTGTGGCGTTTACATGTTCTCCACATGTTTGCATGGGTTTCCAACGGGTGCTCCAGTTTCCTCCCACAGTCCAAAGACATGGATGAATGTAAAATAAGAATATTTCCCACAAAAATCTTAAGTATAAGTAAATCACTATAAGTGAGCAATCAAAGTGCTCACAGGAGAATGATGGCAGAAAGTTTCTCTGAGTCTGACTGTCTTAGTACCAAAACACTGATCTAAAGGCCAAAGATGTCATGTATGGATCTGAAAGTGTTAAAGATGGGTAGCCTTTGGGATACTCAACACTCGTGGTGCTTGCTTGTTAAAACGAAGGAGTGGAAATGGACTTCTTGTGTTGAATGAGCATGCCCTCAGAGAAGATTTGTACTAGCAGCACACTTTATCATACTCATGTGCTGTGATTATGTACTAATTCAGTGTGTACAGTAGGAGAAAGAGGTATATATTTTCTTTATTTTATTGTGTTTATGGCAAAATGACTCTAGTTCTTAAACTCTGGGGTTGCTATTATTACTAATAGCAGCAGCAGCCTTCTTAACTTGTTACAAAATAACTGAATCTGAACAGCTGAACTGTTTTGGGTTTCAGGCAGTTTGGTAAGGTGTAGGGCAGTCCAGCACAGAGTACATAAATAGCCAATGTTTTCCAGTGAATGATGGTTGAGTGGAGAGTCTGAGTGAGATGAATTAATTCAGTTAAGTTCTGTTCTACTTTGTTGGTGAAAGCAAACATTTTTTAATTCCAACTAAAGGTAATGTTAAAAGATTTGTTTTCATTTTTGCTGTTTTCCTGATAAAGGAACACTTTTTCATGGGCCACTGCAATCAAAGCTGTAAAGTTTTCAATATTTATTTTGTATCATTTTTGTATGGTTTCTTTCTTCAAGTTCCACCATTATTTTATTCCTGTTGCCTGACATCTCCACATAACCATTTGTTTCTTACAGATGATAAAACTTCTGTCTGTTTTACAACTCCATCTCTTTCACTCTGTGTTGCTCTTGTTGAGAGATGTGATAAACATAGTTAAATTTTTTCAAAATAAAATGCTGAAGTTCTCATCACACATTTGTAGGTCTTCATTATTATTTAAAAGACAAAATGCCATATTTCTAAACTCCTGTTTTTATTCATTTAATTTTTTTTAGTAAAAGTAACCTTCAACATCAATTTTCAAAGGATCGTGAGATTTCAGCTCTGAAGGAAAATCAGAAGACACTCTGACAAAAATCCAAGCATTAGAATTCTGTTCTGGTATCCAATAAACTAGATAAAACATCAGCAGCTCTCTTTAAGAGATGCTTGGTTATGTAGGAAAAATCACAATGCATTATAATCAGAGATCTGTGAAAAAAATGATAACATGTATGGACAGGTTATATCTTGAAGGTGATTGGTGTCTTTTCTGTGATGTTCTGCCACAAATAATTATGTGCCCCTGTTTTAATAAAAAGTAGAGAAACAGGGTTCTTGGTAGAGGATCTGCTATGTATCCACAATTTTAGGCTTCTGTTCACCTCCTTGACTGCTCCTGTATTCACAGTTTATTAAGCTTTCTCCAGGCCAGAGCAGTCATGAATAAAAACCTGATGAATGGCCACATAAATTAGATCTTGGTTTTCTAATAAAGTTCATCTAAATTTCATTTCGCAATTTTGCTTCGATAAACCATCGCACTCCAGATGGCTGGTGTGTATTTCCCTTCGCTGTTCCCTCATAATGGCACTCATAAAAGATTTACGCTTCATAAAAGCATTGTTAACTCTTTTTACTTTTTTCTTTTCACTAAAAACGGTTCGGATGACTAACAGTGTGTGTCCAATACCCAGATGAAAAAATATATATATTTAAAATAATAATGAAGCTCATCTAATCCTGTTCGTCAGAGAGTCAGAGTTTGTTTGCTGATTACACACCACATTTCTGGCTAGAACTTTTTAAGTCTTCTCAATAGTCACAAATAGTTGTGTAAGGTTAAAGAGCAAGACTTTTAGAACAAAAAATAAATTTGAAGAGATAAACATCAAGAATGGGATTTGCAATTGGAATCATTTCTGTAGTTTTATGCCACACCAGATAAAAACACTTTAAACAAGGTGGAAAGTTTAGTGGTACACTCAAGCTTTAACACAAGTCTCTTTTCAAAGAACTGTTTGTTCATTGCAGCATACTGCATACTTCCACCTAGAAAGTTTCACATATAGCACTTGTAACAGGGATACAGCATTCACAGTCATATTCAGTCTGATGACAGGAACAGTAACTAACCCTGGTGGGGAAGTTTAGCATAGACCAGCATACCTTTGAGGACATGCAAACTCCACACAGAAGGTGCGCCAGCCCAGAATTGAATGAAAGACACCAGAGCTGCTCAGCTCAAACACTGACTGTCTTGCTTCCACACCACCCATGCAGGGTGGGTTTTACGAGCAATATAGACACACAACAAGAACAACATGTTATTCTTGGCTAACCCAATCAGAAAAGTCCAGCTGGCTTAATTCCCTTTAATTCCGCCTTAATTCCCATCAAGACCACCAGACAATTATAGCTGTGGAACTCATGAATCTCAAAATCCTCAAAATCTCAGATGACAGGTAAATGATAGGATCATATTAAGTATCATTTCAAAGTTATTTATTTTAAATCTTTTAAAACTACCCAAAAGAGAGTTAAACTGGAAATTGCATCAATTGCATTGTATCAGAACACATAATTCACAGGCAACCTGATGTCAGACTTAAAAAGGCACAGCCTTGACCATGAAACAGCTAACAGTAAGAAAGTATCAGTGTCAAAAGTCCAAAAGACATGAACATACTGCATGTCATCATCAAACATCTTGTACTGTATAGGATACATCTTAACATTTCCCTTAGCTCACTTTAATGAAATTCAAAAGTTTTGCAGCACAGTTTTCTTACACCGTTTATATTATAAGACTTGAATCTTCTACTAAGGAAAATTGCAGAAACAACAATACCAAATCGGGTGATAAATAAGGCCCACATTCTGCAATGTCTTAGTTACAAGACTATACTGTGGTAACTTATAAAATGTTCCATGATTGCACTGTTTTGTCTTTATAACAGAACACCTTTTTTTGGTTTTATAACAGAAGCATCTTTAATAGTTTTTTTTTTTACAATAACACAGTTGAAAGCTGAGAAAAAGATTAATGTATGTAAGGCGCTAAGAGGGCTGGGTTCCAACAAGAGTTTTCACATTAAAGCTGGGCTGTAATTGCTAAGCCAGGCCAATTACAAAAATGTGAATTGCCACTGAGCTGGTTTCTAAATAGTGCCCCACCGGCCAACCCCACATTTCATAATGTGTGGGCGGGTAAATAAATTATGAGCAAAAATGAGATGTGTTAGATTAAAAAATATTGCTTGCTGCTAAGCAAAGTATCCAGCTGTGTCTGTGCTGTTGATGTTGATAGCAAAGCAGTGGGAAGAGGGCCTGGGAGAGATGCACAGCTGGAAAATGCCAATTCTACTCTTTCTGGAAAGGAGAAACCCTAAACAAACCTCATAAATAATGTCACAGTATTCTAAACCAGACCAAAAGTTCGGGGATGGAAGGCAAGGTGATAAAGAAAAATCCATAAAAAACACAC